GTTTAATAACAGACTCCAAAGTCAGTGTAAAAAGTAGAGGTGGGCCTGCGTGACTGATCTTATTACCAAACTACAGATAATGCTCTTATTAAGCAGTGCGTATAGTTACAATTTAGCCTGTGAAAGCCTGACACATGCTCTGGCATTCTAAACTCCAGAGACGCCCTCAACTGGATGCAGTAATTGTGCTTTTCATTCTTAATGATCTGCAAACCTTATAGTGCAGAGGCTTTTTTTCCCCCTTTCCCCCTTCAGAAAGTTTGACCAAAACTGCCCAAGTTAACTGCCTGAGGATATGTGTAATTGGGAAGTTCAAACTACAAATCTAAAGTCTCTCTGCAAAATGGTTTTGAATTTCTCAGACATGCAGCACAGCCTCCTAGATTCTAGATTAGCCACAGCTGTATTAGAATATTTACAAAATTATTAAATATGTAGAAGGTTTTTTATATAATAGCAGAAACTTTTTAAAAAATTAAACACCGTCACTATGCAATTATGTTGTGAATGATGCTTGATTATGTGACGTTGCATAAGTGAGATGCTTTTTTTATTATTTCATTTTATTTATGGTAAGTGGGGTTTATATATCTGATATTCTACATGACCTTGAATGCGGTTTATTCACTATTAAGTGGGTTTGTACTAGCATTGGTAGGTACTGTACCTTTAGCATTCAGTCCGTAACCACAGAATTCTGTAACTGGTCTTCCTTTTTGAACTGTGAAATATCCTCATCATCCAAATTTCACAAAGTTTTGAACTGTATCTCTGTTCCTTTAATGAGGAACAAGTTGTCAGTGAGAGCCAGGAGCTGTTCATTTCACAGATGTCAAACCTCTTCCTTCATCAGCATGATATGCCCAAACTCAAAGCTATTCACATAAAACCACTTTAAAATGAGAATAGTGAAACAGCTCAAACCATTCCCTTCAACAACTATTAACAACTGTAGGGTCATAGTCGATCAAAACAGGCCTACAGAAAGATTTGGTAGGTCTAGAATTTAACCCTAACAGAAGCTATATGTTCAGAATGGAATACTAGCTTAGTATTAGCAGTATAATGCCTCTTATTCTTTAAAAATATCTACTGTGATCGCAGGCATTATTCGATGACCAGCATTTCAAAAAAAGCCAATGCAATATTGTTGTCTTCCAATCTCCTCCGAGTGGCACCATATTCTTGAAAACAGTAAGGGCTATTTTGCATTTTCAATTCAAATTTGTATTTAAAAATCCAGTCAAATCATGAATCACTTTAACTACTTTAAATAGGTTGAGTTGAGCGCTCTGCTATAAAATGGGCATGTTGTGCACAGTATGCATACTACATGCGAGTCTTTGCACCTATTCCTGCATCACTGTTCATTTGCATAAAGAGACTTTGCTCATTTTTTGCTGTTTTTTTTTTTTGCCTCAAATCACCAACTCTAAAAATTAAATAAATAAATAATATTACTGTAGGTGTATCACAATTATTCAAAGCTGACAAGATGGGGTTTTAAAGGGAAAGCTCACACAAAAATGAGAATTCTGTCATTAATTACTCATCCTCATGTCATTCCAAACAAGACCTTTGGTTATCTTCAGAAAACAAATTAAGATATTTTTGATGAAATCCGAGAGCTTTCTGACCCTGCATAGACAGCAATGTAACTACCACGTTCAAAACCCAAAAAGGCAGTAAGGACATCGTTAAATTAGTCCATGTGACATCTGTGGTTCAACTGTAATTTTATAAAGCTACGAGAATGCTTTTTGTGCACAATGAAAACAAAATTACCAACTTTATTCAGCCATTTCTTCTCTTCCGCATCAGTGTTTGAGAGTACCGCTATCTATGCGTTTTTTGTTGTTGTTTTTTTTTCAGTGCTATATGACTACAGAGAAAAAATAAAAAAATAAAAAGGTAGGAAAACTTCTATAACCAAAATGAACTGGGCTCAATCAGACTATCTGTGAGTTGGGAAACAAAGTATGATTTGTAGTTTTGGGGCAGTCCAAAGTCCACCAGACAATGCATTTTACGTCATTTCGTAGAGTTTAGCTGTCAAATAAACAAGAAAAAGAATACACATTTTTGCTTACACTACCCACACTGTAACAATACAAAGCTGGTTAAAAACGGACTTAGTCTTTAATTAACCAAACAAATGATGTGTGTAATGTTGGACACATAAGTCCCAGTCACATTAGACTTTGAGCATGCAAAATTTCTACATACTCTGCAAAAATTGTAATATGACAACAAACTCTGTGGCATCTTTTTAAAAAACATGATTTAATATCTACTCCACTTTACAGCAATGCAGCAATTTTTAAGATTCAAAGCTGACTTTCTTTGAATTCAGCTTAGACATCATGCAAAACTTCTACTGGTCAAACGTCTTCATGTGATATGAATTTGCAGGTCAAAGTTCACCAAACTTGAACTAAGAATGCAGCAAAAAAATGTTGCATGAGCTTGTGTTTCCTGTCTCCCACATTCACATGTGTATGAATGGAAGTCAATGGACTGAAAAGTGTAGTGTGGCCAGCCCTTTAATGCACTCAACTGTTACAGCTTTCCTGAACTCTGATGCTGAATGACAAAATAACCTTATATACTCAAGACATTAGAGTACATAGTGCAATACAACTTCTGGCTTTCTCGCTAGAAATCACTATAAGTGCTAATGCTCCTTAATATATATATATATATATATATATACAATATATATATGACTGTTCTCCATGCACAGATTACAAACCAGAGTGCAGATATTGATCCACCACCTGATAATGCTGGATACAGCAGTCGAGTGTGAACGAAAACTATCAACAGCACAGGAACTCAACAGTCAAAGTGTGAACACCAATGAGTCATAATAGCAAGCTACTGTGACACGGCTTCAAGAGATGCAATTTTTACAAAATGAGCTCAACATTAGATTCATGGCATTGTTACAGCCACATAAAATACAGTTAACATGAGGCAGTAGTTTGTAATCCTTTAAAACAAGCAAAGCCCTTTGTGTTTCAGGCAGCATATTGTTGATGTCTCATTCCCAGGGGCTTCCCTTAACATCTGTCTCGGTCTCCTTAGAAATAGAAACATATCCTCTATATAAAAAAGACTGACTTTTAAGACAGACACATTTTAATATCTATAAAAAGATATAAAAAATATAGTAGAAATGCATGCTCTTGAACTGAAAAAAATAAAATAAAAAACAAGGACAGTTACAAAACAAGACCTGCATTAGATCTCATACGAAGACACACCACATACCGAAGCTATCATTTGGATTTCTACAAGCTTTCTGACACCGCAGAGCTAATGACTGTCAGATTCACAAGCTAACTGTTCTTTAAAGTGGTTGTTGTTAATGAATCAATAGAACCGATTTGCGAATTGGCCTGCATCAAACTCATGCGTTATCAATCGGTCAGATTACTGAGCTAATAACACTCTCACACACTGAATCGAAAGTCATCACTTCTGGTAACGGCAAACTGATCCCAAGAGAAAAGAAGATTGCTCTTAATAATAATTGATTGGTGTCAAATAATAACTGGCTATTGACATGTTAAAATAAGACTTTTTTTGGTTCTCACAAAGTCTTTTCTATGGTACAAAATGCTGAATTATTCAATTTAAGTTTAATTTTCAAAACTAAAAAGAACAAAATGGATGGATTTGAACCAACAAAATCAAGTTACCAGATCAAATCTTTATCCAACCAAAAACAACACCACCTTGAACATTTCAGTTCTGTAACCTCAGTATGCTACGATTTAGGCTACCATATATAAAACATGGCTTTCCCCAGTTTTTTGATAGCTGCAAAAGTATTGTGTTTGATTTACAACAATCACATATTAATATCTATTTTTCTTATTTTCTCTGTAACATAACTCACATACAGTACACACTAAGATAATAAGTAAAATATGCAGTATTTATGTTAAAAACACAATGGGGTCGTTCTATAATTGCAGTGACATTTCCACCTGATTTTTTCTTGTTGAAAATTAATCTCATCAATAATATATTACACCTACGGTGCAATATTCATTATCTTCTTTCTCATTTTATACAAGGTCATACTAACTGTATAGGCGTGGGATTAAATATATATGTTTTACCACAGACTGCTAATTTGTCGATGTGTCATAGAAGCCAGTAACACTACCACAAATAAACTGTTGATGATTGTTCAAGATGGGTGAGACCATTACAAAACACGTTACTACTGATTTCATGACACATAACGGTCAAAGATATCTTCAACAACACTGCTATTTCATAATGGACATTCAAAAACAAATATATATTCAGATAAAAACATGTAGAAACTAGGGCTGCACGATAAATCGAAATGGAATCGAGATCGCGATTCTAGTAAATTCTGCTCCATCTGAAAGCACGTGACGATGATTTCCTGTTGATTACAGAATCGGCTTTTTTAACAAAATGCGCATGACAATCGCATTCGATTAATTGTGCAGCCCTAGTAGAAACTTTCAGTAGATACTCCCCTCACCACACATGATCTTTCACTTCAGGAAGTGCTTCTCATAAAAGTCATTTACATACACTATATTAAAATAATACATTTTGCAATAAATCTTTTTTTTAATACATACCTAAAAATACCTCATTAGAGAACAGTGACATTGTCGACAATTTTCAAAATCTAAATAGTTAAATTTTCCAGTTTACAGTTAAAAGCATTTTAAAACATATATTTTCTATGAGTTTGTGCATTGAATTTTTAGCCATCTAAAAGTGATTTACAGCATCTGTCACCCCATAACTTTATTATGAATCAACATCCAAGTGATCCAACAGCATTTAACATCAAATTTCAAATAACAACACTGCCAATCTAGGCAATGTTGTTAGCTATGCTCATAGGTAGATGCAAACTAAATTAATCAATTCTTCCAAACATTATGTAACAAAATGCTACTCAACTGGCCACAAGCAAGGTATAAAGAATAAGAATAACTCACCGTCATTTCTTTCCTAAATGCCACATGCAAGGATTGCTAAGGATCAGCCAGCGGCCCTGCCAGTGTGTGTCTGTCAACTGCAAACAAGACGTCCTGCTATAAAGGTGTAAACTTCCTGTTTATAGTCCGTTGTGAGATTACTTAAATCTAATCGTGCAAAAGGCTATAAAACTGTTAACAAACATTAATGTAACATTACAAGATTCACATCCGGCTACTTTTGACATCCAGTCAGTTTGAGTAGGCCTATATTTCTAATTTCCATGCTGTTGTAGATGTGAAGAAAAGGATTTCATATGATTTTATGACTTTTAAATGTGATCTAACTGCACCATAATCAGATGATGCCGTTTTTGAGATGTTCTGTCAACACTGCATGCATAATTAACAAAAAAAGCGAAATAAACATGCCGCTATCATTTATGTCAATTTCTGGCCCACAGATTTTCTTGAAATTTGAATTTGAATCTGCAACTGGTTTCTAATTCATTTTCATCTCTTATTTATAAGTAGAAAATGAGATTCATAAGGTGACTCAAAAGCCTATGGGGTGGTGTGTTGAAAAAAATATCAATAAAATATCACTTTTTGATATTAATGCTTCATTTCATTGGACTAGGTTAGCCCAAGGGGAATCTAGGTAGTTTGCCAATAACTAAATCATTGATCTCCTAAGGTTACAGTGAACTTAGAGGGGAATTGCCTTATTTGCAAGTAAGCGAATACCTATGTGATCCAAATCAAACAGACCCAGCCAGTCTGATTAGATTCAAGGGCCTTTAACAATAGGTGGAAAATGACAAATGCAAAATACTTTGACTGTAGCGCTTCCATTCTGTCATGCTGTTTTCAAGTAACTTTGATTTCGTGAAATGGAAACTAACCTTATTTAGTTTCTTACTGGATGTTTCTTCCTTTGGTTACGTCATTTAGGCCATGCAGCTTTTTAGATTATGTTAGCCTAACCAATAGCCAAATAGCTGTTTAGGCTTGTTTTTGCAAACTTGGTCTGACTACATTCTGGTATGTATCTTTTCTTATTGAATATCCTGTTTCACTCAGAAATATATCATATTGCTGAAGTAAAAAAAAAAAAAAAAAGTTAAAACAAGCTAGCTTGAGCTAGTTCATGATTATGTTATGAAGATGGAGGATGCATTTGTTTTTATAAAAACAAACACACTACTATTGATCTCATATCACATAAATATCAAAGATACTTTCTTATACTCCCTCACCACACATGGATTTTTCACTTCAGGAAGTATTTCTCATAAAAGTGCTATTGGTGTTTTTGTTTTTATTTATATTTTATTATTGATATTTGTATTCTTTGTTTTATTATTTTATTTTTATGTATATATTCTATTTATATAATTTATATGCATATGCATATATACTGTATGTCTGTGTATTTATATATACATAATAAATATACTGTACACAGTACACACACATGTATTATGTAAACAAAAACTTTTATTTTGGATGCGATTAATCATTTGACAGCACATATATATATATATTTTTGCTATTTTTAATACCTTTTCAACTCAAAAATACCTCTACACAGTTGCATTACAGAACAGTGACGCTGATACTTTCATGCTTTCGAAATAAATAGATATTATTTTACATAATAATAATAATAATATGTTGTGTTAAGTAACATCTTTTCTCACTAAATATCCTGTTTCACTCAGAAATATCATATTACGGAGCAAAATGGATTGCGAATGCCAATTCATGCTGACTTTAAGGAGGCTAATGAGTTAGTTTGAGTGATTCAGGTGCATTCTTAGAGATCATATGCGCTTGCTTTACTATTTAAAGTAATGATTTATGTATTTTAAAAGAGGTCAGCTTTCCTGAAATAACAGTGTTATTATTTCACACTCCTGTTCCCGTACTTAAAGTGCACACGTAAAGCGACTCAGTCACTGTCACATTTTTCAGTGCATTGACGAAAAGTTTGACACTTTCACGGATCATCAAAACCCGCCTCCTCTCGACAGAGGAGAACTGACATTTATCAACGTACGACCATCTATTAGGCGCAAAATCACTGCACACATGAGTCCTTTACTAGAGGACGTTCTGTCCTCGGTTCGCAGTGATCTTCCTGTCCCACTGGGCATCCCTGCCATATAGTGATGAATAAGCCCTGGGATAATGAGAGGACATACAATGTAGGGCAGGCGGACGCCGCTGCTGCCGGTATAGGGGTTGCTGGGGGCCCTGGGGCCGCAGTTCTCCAGTGAGTACCGGTGAGGCAGGCTCCTCTCCCCTGACTGCCCATGATGCATTGAGCTCCAGTTTGCTACTCTACTACACAGAGAAGAGAACGTGAGCGCTCTCATTAATTATGGCGAGCAAATTAGTGCCATGATGCATGCATTAAACGCCCTGACGGTGGCATTACATTGTGCATGAGAAAGAAGGAGAGACGGAAAGACTATGACAACGAAAGAACATCATGCATGTATCATACACGCAGGAGTCGAGAGATAACGGTTACACAACTGCATTAATAGCTCTTTAATGTGACTCTCGGTCTCCCAGTCGTATTGTATAATGAATAAATGCGCTTTCAAAATCAACAGAAACTGAAGCGGACGTGCCCTTTTCACCTTCTGTTTATTTTCGCTCCAAACAAGTGCATTGGAATTCCAGACACCGAGTTTTCCCCAGTACACAGGTCTTGTGAAGTGAGACTCAAAGGATCTGTGACACTGGGTCTTTGACAGCTTCTTTCTATTGATTTCTTTTGTCTTTTTTTTCAGGTGTGGTGAGCTATGACCATAAGATGGATAGCCGAGGATGGCATGGAAACATCATTATCTGTAACCTTTGGTTGACTCGGACATATAAAAAAAGAAAGAAGGAAAAAAATGGAGCTCCAGACATATAAAAAAGTTCTAACTTTGTGCTTTTTTTAATCTGATAAAAACGGCTTAGTCCTCAAGCTTTCCTATTTATAGCTTATTTAGTTTTTTATATGACTTGTTCTAGCATATTTACTTTTTTATACATAAAGGAATGTTACATGGAAGATATATTGTATATACACAACTTACATTGCATTCAAGATAAAATATGATATGATAAACATGATAAATGTGCTCTAAAAATACCATAGTTACCACAGTTATTACTGCTACTGATAAAATGTATACAAACAGATATAGATAAAAATGTCTGCCAAATGCATAATTGTAAATGTACTGTAGTTATTAATATGGGATCTCCTTCAAATCATATAAAAAGCTTTCAGAATATTTTGGTAAGTTTTACCGTAGAAAAATAATCATATAAACTAGTATCCCAGCTAACAAAAATATGTTCCAAGATTTGTTAATGTTCTCAGTATGTTATGAAAAAGTTATTTCTGAATGCTCTCTGAATGTTCAAAATGTTGAGATTTTAAAAACGCTTTTTTTATGTGAACATTCCATTTTATAATTTCAAAATTCATGGGAATGTTACATTTGAACATTCTCTGAACATTCTGAAATAAGTAGTCACATTTAAAAAATGCTAGTCAAATATCCAACTAAAACGTTTTGGAAAAAAGGTATAAATAATGTTTTTGCAAAAGTTTGGAGAGCATTAAAGACCGGATAACTTTGAATGAACATTCTGTTAACATTGAACCCTACCAGAAGGTTATTAAAATAAGAAAGTTCCCTGTTAGCTGGGATTTTGGTATTCATGTAGCTAGATGTTTGGTTTTTAGCACAAGATATAGTTCACTCTGCAGTGTCTAGCCCAAAACCACATGAACAGTGACCAAAAAGAGTCTGTTTAGTGTTTGCGTGTTGTTTATCCACAAGAATAGACTGGAAAACAGCAAAAATTATGATCAGGGAATGCAATAACTGATAAAATTATAGTATACCTTCAATAGCTAAAAGCATATGCCAAATCTAGCGCAGTTTGCATCAGATGGTCAGTGAAGGGACTGTGGGTGGTCTGTCTGAAGCGGAGACTGGTATTTTGGTAGAAACTATGGTTATCATGGTTCATTTATCATCAGCACAGTAGAAGGTTTGTTCTTGGATGTGCTCAAAAAGTGGGAATGTTTTGGAGTGTGGTGTAAGTGAGAATGTATTATCACATGTGATAAGCCAACAGCATGACTTCAGTTAAACACCCACCAGCTCTTTCTCCAAGTTCTAGTGTCATTTCTCTCTCTACCTCTCCACTCCACGCATTATACCGGCTCTGTTTAAATAATGGGGACATCTCTACAGAAACACACTTAGAGCTCTCCCCGCTAGCGCTATCAGCAGGGTACACGCACCGCTGCAGAGGATTCTGGATGGTGGAATCTACACAATCTGACAGCGACTGGGAGTCAGCATGTATTCGTTCTGGCAAGTCATATTTCCTCTTTCGGGAAGACACCATTTTTCCCCTTCATCTTTCAGAGGAAGCGCTGCACTGGCAGGTCCCTTCTTTCTTTGTGCGCTTTAATTTTGTCCCTGCACCTGCCGCTGTACAAATAGCTGTTCGCCGCCCTCGCCACAACTCTTCTGTGATGTGGAAGAAAGGCCTCACCTCGCCTCTCATGCAAACCGCCACTTCCACATCCAGCCCCACTTCAGCCACTCAGCTCCGCTTTACTGTATCTTTAAAGTACTTTCTTTGCCGATTAATTTCCTTTTTCCCATTTATTTTTGGTTCCAATTTTCCTCTCTCTATTTACTCTGAGGAAAGTCTATAATATCTGAAGAGAGCTAGCCAATAGCATTCACATTTATCCCAATAGCAGTTGCTCTGCTATAAGCCACTACCACGCAAATGATGTTTTAATACTGTTAATTGTTATTTTTATTCAGCCAGGACACATTAAAGCAGAAAAGAATTTTATAATGTTACAAAGATTTCTGTGTCAAATAAAACTTTATCATTCTTTTGAACTTTTTATTCATCAAATAATCCTGAACATTTTCCAGAAAAAAAAAATATATATATTAAGCAGCCCAACTGTTTTAAACATTAATAATAATTTGAAATGTTTCTTGAGCAGTTTCTTAGCATATTAGAATTATTTCCGATGGATCATATGACACTGAA